GCAACCTACGACCTACACAACGATATCTTAATATTTTCATGGCATCGAATTAGGTCGTCTAATCAACACCTCAATATCGTCGCACCGAAATATTCTAGCCTTAGAAATTTCAAAAAATTAAACATAATTGTTAATAGTAATTAATATTATCTTTAAAATTAATTTAATTTAGGACAAAATTCATATATTTATAATATAATACCATAATAAAAGATATCGAGGTCACAACTATAAGCATTAATACAACGAAATACCCTAATCGGGAAATAATAATGATTATAATAATCGCCAATAATATCAAATATCACCTTTATAATCTTATAAAAATTATAATATTATATAATCCAAATAAATATAATTTAAAATAAATCCACAGGTTTGCGAAAAAAAATAGTAAAATAAATATAAATTCATTTAATAATTAAATATTAATTTCGAAAATCTAATACAAATTTAATATATTCCTAATCCCATTATATATTTTACATAATAATATCAAGACCAATCCCAAACAATCCTTCCATTCCAAATAATCATTCCACCTTATAATATACAGAAAAATATATCATCAAACATATATTTACATCGTAATATATATTTTAATATTAATTTATAAAATAAATATATCATAAGAATACAAATATCATAAAAATATAGATTTATTTATAATTTTATATATCGATTAAATAATGATCTATATATAATTTTATTCGAATTAAAACATATATCAATAAATATTATATATATATTATCTATCTACATTTTATATATAATGATTAATTATATTATGACATATCTATTATATTCAAATATTCTTAGGATTTCAGATGGAGAGCCGGGCAATTCAAGATCCATACAAAAAACGATGCCTTGATTATCAACCTGAAAAACAAGGGCATCTTAATCGAGGACAACCGCTAACAATCTCTCTCCTGATCTCTCCTGGGGTCCTCATGCCAAATTGTAGAAAGCAATTTCCAAGACAGCTCTGACCTCCGAGGAGATTTGCACCATCTTGAAGCGCATTCACACACCGGGACAGCAACAAGAATTCATTTACAGATTTGCAGCCCTGGCAACCTCTGCAACAGAATTCTCTTACCAGAGACACGGCAATCGCGAATCTATAGCGGCTCGATATGTCTCTTCGTTTGGTGGATGCCCACGAATTAGGAATGGAAATATCATATCCAATTGATCCTGATGCGCATAAGGTAAGCTTCACTTCAACATTCACCATTGGCGGTCGCAATCTCTAAGAAATTGAGGATTTGATCTATGACATTTTGATGACTAATTTGACTAATGACGGATCTACCCATTATTTCAATGGGAATTTGCAAGTTCAGCTCTGGACGTGTGGCATGACAAAAAAAATTCAAGTCAGATGCGTGGGATGCATGGAAAATGCATTGTTGCGCTTGTTTATTCGACCGACCGGGGCAGCCATTAATCCACGCTTTGATATTGAGTTGGGCCGTTTATTTAAACTTTGCCTTAGGGTTCATGACATCTCCATTCAGTATGATGCAGATGAATCCTTTGGAGGATTCAGAAAACCTTGATGGAAAAGACGCTGCTGGCCACCCCCTTTCATGGATGGGAGGCTCGAATTTGTAACCCTTCAAACCCTGACCCTGACCAATAGTTGGCATATCCCTATTGAAATTTCAAGGAGAACTTGGGCCGCTACAGTAGATTTTCTAGTAGAATTCTAGGTGAGGTCGATTCAAGGCAAGTCTTGCGTGCTAGAAAATGACGTTGTGGAAAAATCCTTAGAATTCAAGGTGGGGTGGAAACATGACACCATCCAAAATAGCCTTCTTAGAAAATGCTCTATCCAGGTTCAGCTTCCCAAGTATCAGCGAGCAACAAAAATCCAAATCTCATTTTCTAGGGGAACATTGACAGCTGCATACCGAATGTGGACAGACATTCCAGAAGATCCCAGAAGTCATTTTCTAGGACCCTGCTTCAGCATCCAATCGACTCACCAGCACCTATCATCATCGCACTCAAAATTTCTCCCTAGAAAATGCCCCTTGCAAAAAAAACATGATGTTCCAACTGTTCGTTTCTAGAAAATGCCAGGGAATCAACTTAGTGTACAAAGGTGGTTCTCTAGAAAAGCACAATTTTCTAGGGGACCTAGGTCCCTGGATTTCCTAGTGGAAATTTCAACGAGGATGTTGGCATTAATACGAACCCTTTCGACATGAATTCTGTGTAGCAAGCCCATATCTATGCTTGGATCTCGAAGCTCAGATCTCGGATCTCGCATCGCAAGTCTCGGCTCTCGCATCTCGAATCTCGGCTCTCGCATCTCGAATCTCGGATCTCGCTTCTCGAATCTCGCATCTCGAATAACATGCAAATATCGGATCATATTGGCTTTTCGGGGCTTTGGCCCAAGCATCAAAGGTGTCGAGGCCATATATGGACTGCTTCACAGCCGTTCTTACCAGAACCCTTCCAGCAGGCAGGAATACAATCGCTCCCGGCCTTCCCCCTCCTAGTGAGCTCTCTGCACATAGCGGTCGGCCCCGGTGGCAGTGGACAGACAAACTTGGTCTCTTGTACAAACACAACTCAATGCAAGTTAGTGCATGACATCACAAGAAGGCTACAACTACAGGCACACTTGGGCATAAACATGTGTGTAAATTGAGTAAACTTAAAATATGAGCAAAATTGGAATCTGACCTGAGGTGAGACCTGAGGTGGAAGCTACTGGCATCACCCAAGCTCAAAACTGGATAACAAACCTGGTTATCAAAAAACAATAATCGGGTGAACCGGATCTTATCGGTTCAACTTTCATTGTGGATTGGGCATTAGATACGAATACCTGAGTGGACCGTGGAATCAATATATGATTGTGTATGGTCACCATGGTCGTAACTGCTTGATAGAATCTGTTGCGGATTCACCTGCGCATGAGCCTCTGCAGTGTTGTGCCATACCTCAAAAAATCACCAGCTACATACTCATGTTTCCATCGACCTGGGAGAAGTCGAACAAGCGTCATGCTTCGTGGGAATGAACCCGTCAATCACTCTGTTAAGCTGCACGCTCAACTCAGCTATCAACAATGTCAACTCAGTCAGGCATCTTACTGAGGCACATCACACGAGCCAATGCGTTGATCAAGAGAGAGCTCAATAAATGACTTCAGTAAGCTGCCAAGGCAAGGTGGGGACAGCAAAAAAAAAAATCCAAAAGAATCCAACTATTTCGAAAAACGAACAAACCGCGCCGAAACAAGAATCCCCAAATAATTCGAACAATCCACCTTTTTGAAGTCGCAAATATCAAACTTCAATAATCAAATTATTTCGGGTCCTTTCCGCTGAGCCTAAAACCGAGCACCAAATATAAAGCCGCCAAAAGGAAAAATGTCTTCGCTGAAATAGTGGCGGATTTTTGGGACTTTTGACTTCACCGAACTGCGCGCGCGCGTGTTGGTGGCCTGAGTAATTTTTGTTTTATTTAACTATATATAATCAAAGAATATTATAATTACACCACCGTAGACCCCAAACAGTTAAACTAGAGCTTGCGACGTCCAGAGCTGGGAGACAAATGTAAAGGATTGCAAGGCAGAGACGGACACATCAGTACAGAGCGGGCGGACACATCTTAAGAAAGAATTTAGAAGCCCTAACAGTAAACCTTTTGGGGAACTATTCTTCAAGTGCGAACATGATGCTGGTCATGCTGCTCAATCAGCGGGCAGCTGACCACGTGAGGACAAGAAATAAGAGCATGAGGATGATTTTTGGTGCCTGACGTATGCCCTCCGCCCCAACTGAACAGAGAGATCGCTGCCACGCCGCCGACATCCAATCCGGTCATTCATCCAACGCTTGCCCGAAAACGAAAACAAAGCTGAGAGAGTTACACAGTGTGGCAGCAATGCAATCCCGGAGACAGTCACGCACCCCTTTCAAAGGAGCAAGAACCTTTCACACGCGAACCTGTTCCAGCGGACAGGGCAGAAAACAGCAGTGCAGGCACCAAACCTGAAAGACAAAAAGAAAGAAGTCACATGGGAGATAAATGAATAGAAATGCTACAT